TGACCCATCGGGAAGTTCTCGTGTGAGTTCCCAGAAACAAAACCGTGAGGGCATGGTCGGGGCCCAAAGCGGACAATATCGTGCTGTGGTGGTGGAGCGGGCTCGGGAAGTGGTGCCACCCGGGCCGGGATGTGACATTGGTATCAAAGCCTATCCCTGGCCGGAAATGTGCCGACGAGGACGTCGGGCCCCTAAGGGGGGTGGATTGTGACATCCCACATCGCCCAGGGGTGATCCTTAAATTTATATTCCCATCCCTACCTAGCACGAGGCCTTTTGGGAGCTCACTGGCTTCGGGTTCCGTAGGAACTCCGAAGTTAAGCGAGTAGCGCACGAGAGCATTCCCAGGATGGGTGACCCATCGGGAAGTTCTCGTGTGAGTTCCCAGAAACAAAACCGTGAGGGCGTGGTCGGGGCCCAAAGCGGACAATATCGTGCTACGGTGGTGGAGCGGGCCCGGGAAGTGGTGCCACCCAGGCCGGGATGTGACAGTATATGTTAGGCATCAAGGGAAGGGTTTGGGTATTTAAATTGGTTAATTATAAAATAATGAAATCTTGTATATGTCAGGTGTTGGGGGAAGGACTTGATTATACAACTGGACGTTCGAAGAAGTGCCTATATAATAAAGTGGAAACTGAGAATTTAATTACAAAAATTGGGATGAATGGGAGTTAACTCATATTATAAGGTATTCGGAGCCAAGTGGTATAAAGCATGGTGTGAGACGTGCATGCTTGGGTGTCACATTTATCCATCTCATTTACATATACTTTATGTATTTGCAAGAATTATACATTTTAATTATTGTTTGGTAGATGCTTATATCATTTTGGAAACTAATATGTGAACCAGGGATCATTACAAATTTTTATTCTGTTGCGTATTATTAATATATTTTACGTACTAAACTCAGCTTTTATTGTGTAAAATTTTGTTATATGATATATTGTGTAATCGTTACAAATTATTTTATTATATTTTTCACTTTATCTTGGTTGTAGAATTTATTTTTATAGTTAAGATGTAGCTCACACCCTAGCTCATGAATAGTCCTTATTCGCAGGTCGGGGCATGACTATATATATAGGATAATGCTAGGGAGACCAAATTTACAAATTTTAAATTTGATCTCCCTAGAATTATCCATAATCTAGATCAACCTATACATTATTTGGCTTAGAAATTTTGTCTCCCTACAATTACCCATTATATAAATACATATGCTGTGAATTTGTTGTTGCTATATATATGCTTATATATAAATATGTAAATATGCCTGAGATTGAAGTGATTATGTTATGGTGTGTGTGTCTGTGTGTGTATATGTATGTACATGTATCTCCTATTAGCTGTGATTTGGGATGTGATCTAGTTTCAGTTATTTCTTATATATACTATTAGTCAGTTTGCGAATGAAACTTTTGCTATTACAGCTGAGCATATTAAATTGATTTATTATCTGTCAGAACGTGAATTCAAATTTGTTTATTTTCTGTCTGCCGAATGAAAAAAGGAAACAGAAATATGCTTGTTATGTTGTGATATTGATCAGTTTAATGAGAAGAAAAGAATTTTGGGGAATGGTTAGGATTTTTGCATAGTTGAGCCGATTTTTGGTTGGTACTAGATTCTCAGGTCAGCTCAAGTGCACAAGGTTCTTTTAAGGTAATTTGGAATTGGAAACAAAGAGATTGACAAGATGACTAGCAAAAAAGGGAAATTTAGGAATGGTTTGGGTGAGTTCGAATAGTTATTCACTTGGGATGGCACGGTATGGAACGTGTGAATTCTAAATATTTAATTATTCGAATTCATAGGAATAGATTAAACGTTTTGCATTACATTTTTTTAATTATTAATTAAACTCCATTATTTATATATTTAAGGTATAAGTCCCTAATGAGCTTGTAGGTTCACCTTAATCAAATTTGTGCAGGTCACAGACGGGAGAACTATATACTTTGTGTGAGGTGTAAAGCATGTATATATGAACAAACGAACAATAGTAGGAAAAACCATTTGATTGACAGATGTTTGGACGACGAAGCATATTTCGTCGCATATGTGGGTTTTGCTCAACGAATATACTTGTACGTCATGCAAGAGCGGTGTTGCTTTGCGCGACGCAACCCTTCGTCGCGCAAAAGGGATTGCACGACGAAAAAAACTACCTCATTGCGCAAAGCATGTCAGAAAACCGTGGGTAAGTTCTTTTTTGGCGTGAAACAAGTGTGTGATGAAATGATTCCCGCAAAACACTTGCATGACAAAGGCTTTGTCGCGCAAGGTGTCAACCCGATGAAGGCTCCATCGTGCAAGGTTCCCATGCTTCCTATAAAATTTGCAGTCTCGCTCTCCCTATTCTTTCAATTTGTTTTGAAAACGTTTTACCTTTTTCTAGATTATAATTCCAGTTGTTATTTGAATTTTAGTATGATGGCTAACTCTGGTGCTTGTTCGTCAAAGACAATTGAGGGCGAACATTCCGGAAAACGTATGCGTTCTAAATTCGTCTTGCCCTTCAGTTCTTTGGCAATTGGTTCCCAAACGCAGAACATGATCCAGCAATGACCTCCTAGCCCCCCACCACAGCAGCTCTGACCTCCCAACCCCCTGACATAGCAATAACACCACCAACAAGCGAATGTGATGTGGACAACTATATATTGTAGTTTTTTTTTTATTATTATTTTCGATTTTCATAATGTTCCCTCCCATTGTATGTACACTTCAATTTTTTTTAATTCAATATTCTTCTTTTCATTTTATGTTTTTAATTTCAGTAAATTAATTTAAATTAAATAAAACAATATTATCAACATTTAAAAGGAAAAATATAAAAACTACAAAAATAAAAATTTGATAAAAAAATAAAAATTTGAAAAACGATTGCGAGACGTAGGTTCTTTGTCCCATTAAATAAAGACTAAGGAAAAACCTTTGCCACTCAATCATCTGTGCGACAAAAGGTTTTCGTCGTGCAAATATTACTGCCTCGAACACTAGGTTCGTCGCGTTGTTCATATTTCGCGCAACAAACATCAATTTTGTTGGGTCATTTCACGCGACGAAGGACTTTCCTCCATCGCACAACATCTAACATCATGAGCTTTGTGTGACGTCGTCTTTGCCGCTCAAGCTTTCCGACGACTGAATTTGGTATTTTGCGACGGCTATGTCTTCGTTGCGCAACCTGTTATTCTTAGTAGTGGAAGAAGTCTGGATGTTTTCTTAAATTTTATTTTCTTTCTTTGTTTCCTGTTTGTTGAAATATGGAACTACTTGTGTGATCTTTTGATCAGTAGTCCAAAAGTTGTAATTTCAAATGTAAAGGTACTTGAATAAAGTTCATGTTTACATTGACCTTCTATATATAATTATTAATTTTTATTTCTGTCTACACATTTTAATTACTTTTGATTAGCTAATTTAGTTAAAGTGTAAATCACATCTTAATCCCAAATACTTAATCTCGGATTGGGCCGTGACATAATTTACAACTCTACCACTCCCCAATTCATTCTTCTGGCTGTCTACGGTGATCAATGCCACCCACAGATAGCCTGAAACTGAATATTGATAGTTCATGGAATTTAGACCAAAAAATTGGTGGGGCGAGTTGATTGTAAGAAATACTGCTTAATTTTGTTCCAGCTGCCTACGTGAGTTTCAAGAATGTTTTCTCCCCCTTGCAAGTGGAAGCTTTGGCGTTTCGTGCAAGCTTAGTTTGGGCGGTAGATGGGGATTTTCAAAAACCTTAGGTCAAGAGTGATTCGCTTCAAATTATTGGAGCTGTGAACGATCTTCTTACCAATTCGTCCCTCATTGAATAAATTGTGAAGGACATGAAATCATTGCTTCCTTTGATCATTGAGGTCAGTTATACCCATGTTCACCACCAAGCTCACGAGTTAGCCCACGCCTTGCCCGTTACACTCTCACAGTCGTGTCTTCTTGCATTTGGATGGACTCTTCTCCAAGATTTATTCTTGATTTCCATCTTTGAAGATTATAACCAAACTTAAGTCGGATTTTTCCACAATTTTGTACTATTTTCTTGATTGAATTCATTTACTTTTGTTTCCATAAATATTGCCACATATTGTCACATGCTACCATCAAATTAAAAATAAAAATAAGAAAAGTAAAAAAATAAAATTCCTATCTTGACAAATTCATTCATTGAAAATGAAACCTACAATGAAACTCATTTATCTTTACTAGTGTTATAAATAGACAAAAGTTACAGAGATAACTTTTGCTAGTGACAGGAGCGAAACGTGCCTAAAATATCACATTGTAACTATAACACAAGTGGATGACAGATAAAAGAGGGACGGAGAGATATTGATGTTATTGATCTTTTCTTTTTGCACTGTGTTTTGATAGCACACGGAGCGCTCTATTTATAGAGTAACTCCAAACTAACATAATAATTACATCTTGAAAAGCACAACACACACTTGTTAAAAGTATCACACAAATACAATCATCATTCTTTTCCCAAGTCCATATTATTGTGTGGGCATTCATTAATCCACCAATGTTTACAACAACTAGGATAATTTCATATTTCTTATATTAGAGCTGGCCATAGCCAACAAAGCAAAACTTATTATGACAATGACACCATGACATTGTATGAGCAATCAAATACAATGAATTTCTAGTGTTATTAAATTTGGAGTAGTAAGACTAAATATCATTAGCGTCGCACTCAATCATAAAAAATACGAGTCGAAATTTCCCAAATACCCCTACTAAATTCTCTCCAGAGTGCTTTCCATTAGCTTTTGGTAAATTCGCAATCACCCTAATCGTAATCACCCTAATTATTAAGACATTCAAAATATACTATTCGTACTAGTAGTGGATCGTCTCGATGATTAGAATATTTCTTTGCAACTGTTGTCTTTGTGTTTAAGTTCAAATCCCGACTAGTGAAAAACATAAACATGTTACAATTTAAACGGTAAATTCAATGATTTCAACATTTTCAACATTTTTTACAGCGTTTAAACCAAACAAACAATTATCGAAAATTACAGCGCCGGGTTACAAAATCGAAGTGTTACCGTCTGGTATTCTGGGTATTTCCCGCCCTTTCATCCTCTCTTCGGACCGACATATCGTATGCAATGATGCAACCAAAATGACAATAAAAATGGTAGAAAAATTATTGCTGACCATTTCTCCAGTCATTTCAATCCTCCGTCGTTAAAAACAATTGAAGCCTGCAGGACTGGGACGGCGACGTTTTTGTCACCTTGTTATCTGTCGGCTTCTTCGACTCCCGGATTCTTCAGCTTACCCATGATTATAAATCCACGAGCAATCCGTTCTCGGACGGTTTCAATCAGAGACTGAAGAAAAACGACGACGGTTTTATAAATGGCTTTGCGGGAACAAAACGACGGCGTTCGGGGGAGGAAGAAGAAGTCGACGAGAGGCCACCACCGGTTCGTGGGAGTCCGGCAGAGGCCGTCCGGGAGATGGGTCGCGGAGATCAAGGACTCTCTACAGAAAGTGAGGCTCTGGCTCGGGACATTCGACACTGCAGAGGATGCCGCTCGGGCATATGATGATGCTGCTCGAGCGCTCCGCGGTGCCAACGCCCGAACCAATTTTGAGCTGCCACAGAGTGCTGGGGCCGGGGGCGTGGAGGAAATTGTGGAGCCGTTCTCGTTTGAGGCGGTGTGTGGGAATGTGGTGGAAGCTGATGGGTTGCTGGGTGCACTTAGAGCTAAGTTGCAGGATGGTAAGGGGATAACTGGCGTACTCCCACAACCACCACAGGGAACTAGTGGGACGAAACCGGAGTCAGTTAGTCTACGTGGTGCGGCGGCGGGATTCGTGAACCCGCACAAGGAGGACCCAATTGTGTTAGAAAATCAGTGGCAGCATCAGGTTCACCCTTGTCCAAAACCATCAAACCCAAACATGGTGTGGACCAATGAGAGTCAAGCAGCATATGAGCAAGTGCCTAATTGGTCCACGTGGTCGAATAACAACATGCCGTATGTACCAGAACAATGCGTTATGGAGCCTCCGTTGCCTATTGCAAGCATTGGCGATGCTAAAGTGATGGCGGCGGGTACGCAGCATCTGTCACAGATTGATGGTAATGGTGGTAGTGGTGGTGGTGGTGGTGCTTGGTGTTCAGATCAGCAGCAGTTTTTGCACTGTGACAGTAGCAATTGGGGAGGAGCTAATGGCAGTTGGGATCCTCTTTTTTATGCCTCATCTGTGCTGGGGTGATGAGATCATATCCATATAATCAATGCAATTCTTTGCGTTTTACCATTTTTAACCTACAAGCTAGTCTTTGCAGGCAAATCAATTCTTTCAAGTATGTGCCCCCAATAAAATTATGTACCCTACTAGGTTATAGGCATTTCCGACCGTCATTCATAGTTTATTCAGTGAAAGAACTACTCTTAATACATAGCCATACCAAAATTTCACTTATCGTTTGTGTGTAGCAGTAATATATGATCATATTAAAGAAGATGTAATCGATTGATATTTGTACATTCCCATGATATTTGACATGTAGTAATCGGATTCTAGCAAGTTATTTTCATTCCCATGATATTTGTAGTTGTCAAACTCAATTACCAACATGAAAGAAAGTGTACTGAAAGAACAGAACTGCAAATTTACCATTTGGTCACATTTTCAAACTTGTTACATCAATTTCAGCAAACAAGAAACACCTAAGTAATGCTACTTGTAGGAGGCATCATAACGCAATGCTTCCTTCTTCAAATGCAGTCCTCGTCTGCTTGTTTTGCCTGCGCGCCTGTGACAACGAAAAACAAGAAGTGACCTGCAAAACAAAAAGATTGTAGTAAAATATGAGCACAGAATTCGTTTTAGATCGTGCTGGAAAAAACGAATAGAGATTAACTGTTCATTAGAAATATCATCCTCATCTTTTGGTCATTTTCGCATTAAGTCAGCCACCCCCTTTTACCTGGAAGAAAAAGAACAAAGTGAATGCCAGATACTGAAACATCTTCTTGTCCTTGATGTGAGGTTTAACACACTAAACTAGCACTCAACAGAATTAACACACGAAACTAGATTTGATCAACGGCAAGATAATGAGAAGGGCGGGATCAAAACCCTATCAAAGCAAGGTTATGGGCACGACTTTAACTACTCAAAAGTATAAGGCCTCCAAGAATCCTAAGAGCGGTGAAATAAAAAACCTTCAACAATTTAAAGAAAAGATAGATACAGCTGTATGTATGTAACAGTAGCATAAGCTTTTGTGAAAAGTGATTTGTAGACCCACCAGAGGAAGTGGTAGTTTGTTCAGCGGTAGTAGTTCCTGTTTGTGATATTGGAGACATGCAACCATATGAGGCAGGTTTACATGTCGAAGATGTTGAAGCTGGAAATGCAAACAGAGCGGTGATGAAAATTTTCCAGATGATGAAGGTGCAGAAATTAGGACTCTAAATGCCCACTTTTGTAAATATAAAGAGAGCAATACACAGTAAATAATCAAACTTTGCAGCTAAAACCACAAACTCTTATTCTCCAAAATGCTGGTCCATTTCTATAACGCTCCGCGTTTAAAACAGATTTAGAAATAGAAGACTGTCCATTAGCTGTTAAAAAAAATTCAATGAATTAAATTATTATCCACATCAAACAGGCGAACGCACAAATATTGAGGGACTCTCCCAGCTCCTACAGGTACACATACAGAGAGGGAGAGAGGCTGAGAACAAGGAGGAATAAACTGGAGTTCGAATTCATAGCTTTGCCGCGGAAGTGAGTCAAGCGACTGAGTTGGAATTTAGGTGTATACTTTCCATGTTTCGGATTATATCATATTTTTATTTAAATTTATTATGAACTAATTTTCTTTTACTAGGGTTAAGATGTAGCCTACCTATAGATACTCGAAGTTTATAATTATATTAATTTCTTACTATAATTCCATATTGGGTGTTCGTTACTGTTTTTAATGCTTGCAACAATTAATTGGCCACTAATAATTTGATTAGAAAAATTAGGTTGAGATCAAAATGAGATATCTAATATATAGTTTCTAGTAACGAATACCATGTCTTGAATGAGTGGGAATGGACTAACATTGACTTATGCAATTTTTTTTGTGGAATTTTGAAAATGCATAATGGGTTTTTGGTTTCTAAATTCATTGCTTGGAAAAAGAATGAGTTGTTAGTCAGGAATACTTTTGGTTAAGCCTGAAAAGGGATATCAAATAAATAAGGGAAAATCAACTGTCAACATGGGTGTTGGAACAAATTTTGTGCAAGTTGTACTTCTAGTCAGAGTGGACAATTTTAGAAGTCGGAGTGAGTCTGCCAGAACAAAGACAAGCAAAGGATCGTGAAACAAGGAATAGGTGGCGTAGGTTCTTCGACGATCAAAGTCAGTATTAGATAGAGAAGATGAGCAAAATGCTCTAAGTGGAGAAAAAGTGACTAACCCTTTGTGAGGAATCGATGCGCCTATTTATAGGCGTCCAAAGTCTATCTCATGTGCATTCTACTACTATGCTGGCTATCTAAAAAGTCAGAGCATTTAGAGTTAGAAGCATGGCTTTGTGCAATCAAGAGTATGGGCAACATAGTTTGAATGCCACAGTTTGACAAGTCAGTCAAAGGCATGGCTCAGAGCAGTCAGAAGTATGTACAACATGAATTTCAATGCACAGTCAGGCCAGTCAATCAAATGAGTGGTTCATAATAGTTATACCATGTGCAATATAGGTACAATACGACCTGAATGGAAAGTGGTTGAAGATGATGTGGAGAACCTGCACGTATGCACTCAGACCCTATGGGGTGGTAGACCACAACTTCCATGAGGACTCCACATATGCAATCTGGTCAGACTCTATGGGGTTGTGAACCACATACGCCTGTTAGGACTCTTCATGGTGCACCCCGGTCATGTTAGTCGGGCCTGGCAAGTGAGCCATTGTTCTAGAGATGTGAGAAATATGGTCCCACAAATGCCCCTAACTATGCCTTCTATGCAACAGACTGCTTTGGAGGGCATAGTTACACATGACCATACTCTACCTCGATCGGAGTGACATCCAGGTTGTTGAGTTAGAGAGGAATTCCTTCCTCATTCCGATGGCTTGGAGATATCTTGGTCAGATGAGGTCTTGTCCAGATTTCCCTGGAGAATGTTGAAAAAGGTTCACTCAACCCTGAAATATCAGGCAAGGAGTGCAAATCACTTGGTGATTCGAGGAGCATGCTTGCCCCTTGGAGGCATCTTGAGATATTCAATGGATCATTTTAAGGATGTTATTTTGTCCGGAATACCATGATGAACGATGAAAAACTTTCACTTTGCCCTGAAATATCAAGCACGAAGTGTGTCATTCGGGGAGGTTATCCTATCTAGGATACCCTGAAAAAATTTCACTTCGCCCTAAATATCAAGCGTGGGGTGAGTCATTTCAATGACATTATGTCTTGAATACACTGGTGAGAATTTCACACTATCCACTACGCCTTAAAATGTCATGCCTGGAGTGGGTTATGCTGGGGATGTTATCCTGTTCGGAATACCTTGCTTTCCTCTTTTGCATGTTAGTTTCACTTGGACCAATGGTGCCCTGGACTTGAATTGCTTAAACATCCTTAGAAGTCAAGTTACTTGTTATGGATGCAAAGTTCTTCCTCCTTGTTCTTAGACAAAATTGCACCTACAAAACAAATAACTTCTTAGGTTAAGGCCAATAGCCTTACGCACCCATGATGAATTGGGGGGGCGGGTGCTTTGGCTAAAAAAACTCCAATGCCAAAGTTAGAATTTTCAGAGAAAAGTGTTTGGAGAATTTTAAGTATTTAGCAAGAGTGTAGACCTAGGTTTTTAGAGAAAATGGGGTAGTATATATAGGGTATGGGGGAGAAGGTGGCCGGTCCTTTGTGGTGTTTTTGAGTGTATGTTGTAGTTAATTGGTAGTTTAATTAGCCATTAATAGATTAATTAGGTAATAAATCTATTAATTAGCTAATTGACATAATTTAAAAGGAATGTTTTGGGGGTTACCTTGTGGAGAAGATGGATGAAATAGGTTTTGAATAAATACTTATTTTGGGCACTTTTGACTTGATTATGGGATGATTGTCTACTGCTCGCGTGTGGGAATTTTGGTGCTCCTCATGGGAATTTTGTCCTTTCTACCCAAAAATCCACGTGTTGTCTCTTGATTATTTTTGGCTCAACAAATGCCCCCACATCTGCTGGGCTACTTACTGGAAAAGACAACAAGTGTAGAGATCTCCAACTTTGATGTAGATTCTCTCTTGTAATTAGAATTAGATTCTTCTAGGAAAAGGAAATAAATTGCCTCCACAGCCTATTTAAGCCTACCTTAAGTAGGGGATTAAATCAACTTTGGAGAGCAATCATTTATCCATACAAGAAAGAGAGAAAGTTAAAGGATATTTGTTCCTTCTCCCCTAGCACTCTTCTTTGCTTGCCCGTGCAAAGAACCGTCTTTCGTTGATTTCTTTGTCTTCTTTGCGTCACACCAATGTAAGAAAAACTTAATTCTCCTTGTCTTCTTCTTGGAAGATGTTGCCATGGGGCAGTCGTCGGGGTGATACGGTACGTATATCAGCTGGCAGAGGCCAAAAGTCAGCTTGGTATGGGCCCATAAGTCGGCTTGGCAGGAGCCATTACTTGTGCTGCTCGACTTAATTGAAGCTAAGGATTGGCTCGGCATAGGCTGAGGAAGTGGCGTGGCATGGGCAACGGTTTGGGTTGCCACGTCTAGGTTGCTTGCCAAAAATGAGGAAACTACTTGGGTTTGATTTCTCAACTGTCGTAGATGGAGCAATCAAGGATGGAGCTGCCAAGATCGGTTGAAGATAAAGTGTCGGATGAACGAATTGTTAAGTGTAAAAGTGGCTGCTACTCCCTGACCATTTGTTGTAGAGTTGATCTTCAAGCATTTGATCTTTTGAGCTATGTGGCATTCTCGCACTGGAGAGCTTACCCAGATAGGTGTCGGGGAATTAGTTTACCCTCTCGCACTGGAAAGCAATTAGTTTACCCTCTCGCACTGGAGCGCAATTAGTTTATCCTCTCGCATTGGAGAGTAAACCCATATGGGTGTTGGGGAATTCGTTTACCCTCTCGCACTGGAGAGCAATTAGTTTATCATCTCGCACTAGATAGCAGAATCATATGGGTGTCGGGGAATTGGTTTACCCTCTCGCATTGGAGAACGATTAGTTTATCCTTTCGCACTGGAGAGCAAACCCATATGGGTATCGAGGAATTGGTTTACCCTCTCGCACTGAAGAGTAATTAGTTTATCATCTCGCATTAGATAGCATGGAAGTCATTGTCATGAGTGCAGTTGAGGAAAACTGGACTGCTGGGACAATCGAAATAATCCTTAGCCTGCGAGGTTATGTTTGGCGATCTGCTTGAGACTTTGAACTGCTTGTGGACCCTGCGTAAAGGTGTAAGCGCAATGAGTTGCTCCCAGAATTATTGTGCCATCATTATGTGTTTCATCGTGTG